TCTCGGAACTTCAGAGAAAGAATCCTGAATCCCACCTCAGCCTTCTGAATTGAAATACTCTGAGATGTACAAATCTGTTATTTTAAAATAAGCCCCTTAGATGATTATTTGATACTAATGCATGGAGTAAGTTTAGGATCTTCCTCTTGCCTATGTAACAAAAGTATTAAAAAAATAAATTAAGAGACCAATGCTGGCGGCTTGTTCCTGTATCCTAGTGACTCAGAAGGCTGAGATCTAAGGATCACAATTCAAAGCCAGCCTGATCAGGAAAGTCCATGAGGCTTTTATCTCCCATTAATCACAGAAAAAGCCAAAGTGGTGCTGTAGCTCAACTGGTAGAGAGCTTAGGGACAGTGTGTAGACCCAGAGTTCAAGACCTAGGACTGACTAAATAAATAAATTCTGAGCTGGGAGCCAGTAACTCACACTTACTATATAATCTTAGCTACTCAAGAGGTTGAAATAGAGAGAACGGTCATTCAAAGCCAGATTGGACAGCAAAATTCACAAGACTCCCATCTCCAAAATAATCAACAAAAAACTAGTCTGGATGTATGAAGATACAATTTAAATGGTAGAACACCAGCTAAGCCAATTTGAGGCCCCAGTACCAGCAAAATTAATTTAACATAATGATATATACCTATAATCCCACTACTTGGGAGGCAGAGATGGGGAAGATCAGAGCAGCCTAGATAGAAGTTAGTAGGATCCCCATCTCAATCAATAAGCTGGGTGTGGTAGCATATACATGTCCTTTCATCTCAAGTATGCAGGAGGGTAAATAAAAGGATCATGGTCCATATATGGCTCAAGTGGTAAAATGCATATGAGTTCCTGAGTTCAGAACCCCAATAACAAATTAATTCAAAAGAGAGATTAGAATACAGAAAAGTGAGAAAAACAATTTTTAAAAAATGTTATCAGAAATTTAAGAAAATGATTATTATTGGTTTTACATTCATCTTTAAGCTTCCTAGAGCTAACAAAGAATAATGTTGTTATATGTGGGGTTTTTATTGCTTTTTTAAAAAACTAATCACTTAACAGGAATATATCATATGCTTCTTCATATAAAGGATACTGAATCCGATCTCTCATGTATATATGTTCATTACTTGGCCAAAGACAGGTCTTTTTAAGAACAATTTTTTTTTTTTTTGGTTACTCGTGGGACTTGAACTTTGGGCCTGGGCGCTGTCCCTCAGCTCTTCAGCTCAAGGCTAGCACTCTTACCACTTAAGCCACAGTGCCACTTCTGCCTTTTTCTGCTTATGTGGCGCTGAGGAGTCGAACCCAAGGCCTCATGCATGCAGGGCAAGCACTCTACCACTGAGCCAACTTCCCAGCCCAACAAATCCATTTTAAATGTTTATTTTCTCAATTTATACACAGCACTATTTATAGTAAGGTAAAGCATTAAAGAAATATAAGTTGTACAAAGTTTTTATAGTCCTCCTTGCCTCCTCCCCATCTTCATCTTTAACAGTTTCATATTACAGCCATTTTGTCCAAAAACCGTGATTAAAATATACTGATTTACAACCTTATTTTTAACTTAAGATAAAAGATACTCTGAAAACATTGTTAACACACATAGATAGGTCATTAAAGGTTTCGTGGTGGTTTATTGTCCAACTTTTGAGTTATTTCTCAGTGATTTTATTCTTTAACAAGTAATTTGCAAATAATCTTTTCACACTTGGATTTAGAAACTTTTTTTCCTCTCAAATCTGCCTTGTTTGGTTACCTGGGAAGTCTGGCTTAGGATTTTTAGGTCCACAAATGAAAGATAACCTTGACCTAAGTGCTGAAAACCCCACAAGAGTTACATTTATATGAAGGAAAGGTTCAAGAAGCATGGTATTCATAACCCTTTATACAACCACTTACTAACAAAATGCTTTTTATGTACCTAGCCTAAGATTCTTAGGCCTGCTCTCCTGCCAGGAGAAGAAATTGTATGTGAAGGTCTTCGAGTCCTCTTGGACCCTGATGGCAGAGAAGAAGCCACTGGAGGTCTTCTTGGGGGTCCTCAGCTCTTGCCAGCAGAAGGAGCCTTGTTCCTTACCACATACAGAATTCTCTTCAGAGGGACACCCCATGACCAGCTAGGTATGCTTTAATTGTAAACGTCATTAGAATGTGGATACCTATATGACATGTGAGTTGTTGTGTTTTGTTTTGTTTTATAGTTTGTGTATACATATTTACAGATCATTTTAGAATAAGCTTTTTCTTTTTGCGGGGGCGGGGGAAGAGTAGGGCTGGTCCTGGGGCTTGAACTCAGGGTCTGGGTACTGTCCCTGAGCCTGTTCGTGTTCAAGGCTAGCACGCCACTACTTGAGCCACAGCACCACTTCTGGCTTTTTCCGAGTAGTTTTATTGGAGAGAAGAATCTCATGGACTTTCCTACCTGACTGGCTTCAAACCACCATCCCTAGATCTCAGCCTCCTGGGTACTAGAATTATAGGCATGCACCCAGAACCTGGCTCAGAATAAGCTTTTAGCGACTCAGATGGGGGGCAGGGAACAGAGGAAGATCGTGTTGACTGCCAAAGCTAATGATGATTTAATGGATTTGTTTTTGACAAGCAAAGGGTATCTTCTAATCAGTAAAGCAAGAGTTTATTTGCTAAAACAATTGTAATTGCATGAAGCAGAATATTTTGACCTAGGGATATCACAGTATCTACCTGCCACATATATCCCCTGATGATTAGTTGCTCTAGCTTTCTGTATTTAACCTGTTCCTTTGCTCCAGTTAACTATAAAGCTACAGTCTTACAGATACATGATTCTTCTTTTGGTAGGCTGTGCAAAGTATCACAAGATTGTACTAACTAACCCCTTCTCCCTTTCCCCATTTCAGTTAATCCCATTTCCCTTTTAGCAGACTTCTCTTTCATTCACTAAAGTCCCATAACTTCTTTCTATTTTTATTATTCTGTACAGCCTTCCCTATTAGAAATAACATGCTCTATCTATAGAGTTATTCTGAATCATCCTAAAAGCACTGTAGTCTGTTTATGAACTTCAAGTCAGAACACTCAAGTTTGTATTTCTCTTGACCAATCTTGATAGCTTAAGTAACTCTTCTAACCTCTCTGGGCTTGATTCTCCTCTTTTATAAAGTTAAAGAATTAGGCTTTCATTGGTGGCTGCATTTTTTAATTATCTGTGAAGCTTTCTTTAAAAATGATGATTTCTAGACTGACTCCAGTGCTGAGTAGATGTCCAAGGGCTCTGGAGTGGTAGAGGGCTGCCCCAGAACCTGGATTCTGGATATACTGGATGTCATTTGGATGAGGCTGGTTAGCTGACTGCTCAGCTAACAGATTTGTTTTCAGTCATCTGCAAGTTATTCTTCTTTCTGTTCTGGTTGGTTTTCACATACTCCTGGACAGCAACAGCATGAAATTCTCAGACATTCTCATTCCTCCCATAATTGTGTTTCTGAATCCTCTGAGATCACCAGCCAAAATGTGTGGAACATGTGCTGTGCTATGCATGGCCTATGTATGCAGCATGGACAGTACTCCAGGAGAGGAGCCCTGGACCCATGATGTCCTTGAACCTTTCAGTCCCATAGGGACTGGGAAGAACAGGTTATATCAGGCCATTATGAAACCTCAGTGGCTCTCTGATTAGAATACAAGTGTCAGCAAATATGGTCAGAGCAATAGAGCTAATTCTGCATGGAGTTAAGACCTGGAAGGCTTCGGATGTGAGCAGATAGTTGTTTTTCTTGGTGCTACTTCCTGAAGGGCAGTTGGAAGCCTGGTGGAAACTCTGGTGACCCACGGTTGTATGATGGAAGCCAGGAAAGGTGACTTGTAAAACAGTGCAACTATCCAGCAAAAGCAAGCCCCACCCTTCCCCCAACCCAACTGGACAGAACTGTATGGGGGAAGGGCTACAGGAGCAGCTCTCAATGTGTCTACACTCTGTCTATGCCTCCTATTTCATGTTTCTCTCTGACCAATGGGATACAAGAATTGAGGCCATACCCAAACTCCATGCTGCCTAATAGCACTGATATTCATTCCTCTGTTGAATTACACCATTACTAGCAGTTAAGGGAAGTAGAGGTGCTGGTGAGAGAGAGAATCAAGGTGGTTTCAGAGATACATTAAGAAGTAGACATAGTTGGTGGTAATTGTGAAAATAGAGATGATTTCAGAGAGCCTGGGAATGTCACCTCCCTATCTTCTCTGTCCCAGTGCTAGAATGTCTGAGCAAACAAGACAAAAAAAAATAAGCTGCAGGGAAGAAACTACTGCAAAAATACTAGCAGAGGAGTTGTCCTGATGGTCCTGTAGAATCCAAAAAAAAAGAAGAAAACTAAAAGGGGAGGGAACCCTAAGACAACACCACTGGGGAATATAATTCAACTGAGGGTGCAGCCAGAGACCACACTGACCCTGAGTCTTGCCCAACATTGGGCACAGCCAGAGAAGCTAGTCACGTGTCCTCAAAACACAGAAAATCTAGAAAGGTGCTATCAACAACTGGTGCTTGCCCTGGACTCCAGTAGAATACAAAACCAGTAGCTCTGTAGTAAGATCAAACAACTGAAGCAGGAAAAGAAAGACCTGCAGGATCAAGAGGAAAAAGAGAATGAGAAGATGGCCTGTATTCAGAAAACACTGAAAACAGAGCTGGAGCTCTACAAGCTATCAGTACAGACGTTGGTTTCAGAAAAAAATTGATTTATAGTCTGCCCTGGCCCACATGTAACAAGTGGCCAGTGGAAAAAAACTGGAGCAGGCAGGCTTCACAGCAGCCATCACAGAGCTAGAGATGACGTTGTCTGCAGTCTCCACCACACAAAATGAGACAGACAACCTAGAGTTCATTCAAGACCTGAATAACTTGAAGCTTCAGCTCCAGGAAAAGATGAGAAGCTATAACAACCTAGAGGAAGAGAACACTGAGCTGCAGGACAGGTTGAAAGTGCTCCTCACACAGAAGGCCAACATGAAGATCAAAATTCATGATTACAACAAGCACTAGAGGAATGCAGAGTTGGAAAGACAATTAGATAGCATGAAAAAAGTTGGTGGCAAAACTAAAGTTGGAGAGAGACAACTTTGCAGAGGTCCTGAAGGTGAAGAGTTCCATATGGAAGGAGGTTTTGCAGCTCTTGGAGCAGATGAGCCAACTGAGAGAAGAGAAAGAACAAGGGATGAGGTAAGTGTTGGACCTAGAGACCAACCTGTTGGAACTAAGAAAGCAGCTGGCAGAGCTGCCATTCCCACAGACCCTTGTGGAACCATCTCAGGCTGAACAGCAGCTGCCAGCCTAGGCCCACCAAATGCAGAAGGAGTTAGAGAACCTGGAAGAATAACTTCACATCCAGATATAGGAAAGCCAGAGCCTCAGTCTCTAGAATCTGGAACAACAGCAGCAGCTGTGGATACTGGAGAAGGTGGCAGAGGAATGGAATAAGCATGCCGAGGATCAATACAAGATCCTTAAGACAATGGAAAGGAAAAATAAGACCATAAGATACACACTTGTGCACAACCAAGAGCTGAAAGATCAGCTGGCCCAGCTGCATGATGCTTTCCATAGTTTGAATGGTGAGAAGGTGGAGCTCACCAGCATCCTACACTCAGAGAAGCAGGCAAAGAAACATCTGTAGGAGAAGCTGGACCAGCTAGAGGAGAGGTTAGAAGAATGGAAAGACATTGCTGAGTTAGAGAGTCAGATGGGCCGGGCACCAGCGGTTCATACCTGTAATCCTAGCTACTCAGGAGACTGAGATCTGAGGATCGAAGTTCAAAGCCAGCCTGGGCAGGAAAGTCTGTGAGACTCTTATCTCCAATAAACCACTAGAAAACCAGAAGTGGTGTTATGGCTCAAGTGGTAGAGCACTTGCCTTGAGCTGAAGAGCGCAGGGACAGCACCCAAGCCCATAGTTCAAGCACCACAACTGACAAAAAAAGAAAAAGAAAAAACAAAAAAGAGAGTCAGATGGCTCAGAATCTGCAGGAGCTACATGACCAGTCACTGGCCCAGCTTCAAGAGGTCAGATTCACCTGTGAACAGCACTTGGCCTCCGATCAGCAGCTGGCCTCAGAGAAGGAGGCCCTGCAACAGCACACCCAGCTGCTGGAACAGCTGAAGCAGGAACAAGTGCAAAGCCCATTGGGGGACCAGACCCATACATCAGAAGTTACAGGACACACTGAAGTGCCTGGGAGCAACAGTGAGCAGCTGTGGGCCCACCTGAGCTTTCTCTAGGAAAGGTAAAGGACTGAGCAAAGAAGAAAAGGGTAAGGAGGTAACCACCTGATGTGACTGTCCCAGAGGATGTAGACAACCCACAAACCATGTGGGATTTTTGCCTTGAAGCTCTGTCAGTTGCTGAATCAACGAAGGCAAAACTTGGCCGGCAGCTGCAGGAGCATCAGGCCCACTGAGAGTGCCTGGCCAACCTGGCAGCCCAATGCCAGATAAAGCTATAGCACTAGGCCCTCTTCCCTAAGAGCTGGAACAATGCATGTTATGTCTGGGGACAGGAAGATAGACACACAGGTTCCCAAGAAGAATCTGAAAATCTGATTTATCTACAACCTGCCCCACAAAGTAGACTACCAGAATCAAGTGGATGAACTCCAGCAGTGATACAGCCAGCTGTCAGAGCACATCACTGCCATTGAAGAATCTATAGTTTTCTATTAAAAAAAAAATGTCAGTCCTGGGTGAGCTGTATTGGGAGAAAGAACAAGATGCTGGCAACCACCCAAACTCCTGCTACTAAGGCTACCTCAGACCTGTCGGGCCCCACAAAGAAGGAAGTTATGGAGTACCAAGATTTTGAGGAAGTACAAGATTTTGAGGAGGTACAACTTGAAGACAGCCATGGAGCCTGCTCAAGGAGAGGCGAGGGTACTTTGCCCCCTAGAGAATCCCACCACAAACTAGAACATGCCCCTGCTGCCCAGTATCCAGCGCAACCAAAAGCTTGTCGGCTTGGGCAGTGAGCCCTCCCTCCCTTTCTTCTCCAGACTTATGCAAAGGATAGTTTGAGATACTTACCATCTAAAGACTTGGAAGCCACCACCTAGAGAAGTGGGCACCTGTCCCCTTCCATGTACTTCAGGAC